GAAGGTCGACGTGCAGCAAGGAAGGAGACCAGACATGACAAGACTCTGGATTGATGGAGACAGAAGTCAGCTCCCAGAGTATGAGACCCTGGAAGGGGCTGAACTAGGAAGACAACTGCCAAACAGTGCCTCAAACCCAACAGAAATTTGGTTGTGGGAACTGGAAGTGAGATAACAAGCCCAGCTGACAAATTAAAGATGACTGGAACTGTTTTTCAGACAAAAAATTATACACTGGAGGCATACAGATGACTTTTTTTTTCCTAAGGGAAGCCCATATTCAGTGCTAGAAAATACAAAGTCTTTCTGTAGTTCTGGACTGAATCTCTGTGGTATTTAGGAGATTGGAGCTGCAAAAATCCCAGCCTGTCTACTGCCAACTCCAGCTGCGGCACTGGCAGAGTAAATTGTCACCAGTCCCCAAAAGATGCCATCATAGATTGCTGATTTACACAAGGTCTGCACAAACCGGCCCTGCAGCACGAAGAGAGAAGGTGCAAGAAGCCTGCGGGAGGAAAACCCTCGACACATTCAAGTGTTCTTGTATCAAACTCTCTGCTGCCGTATCGACAAGCATGGAGATTATGGAGATTTTTCGACCCAGCGATCAGGGTAAATGTCCGCACCATGGAGAGATGAGAGCGCAGGAGCGTTTGTGGTTTGCATACTGTAAGTTAAAGTCTGTGATGTTTACGCTAAGAGTACCCAGAAGACAGTGTAATATTGGCCACTGAATTGGAAACATGCAGCTATAGTGGAAAGACCATGTGTGAGTATCTGGTGTGTGACAGTTGCACTTGACATTCTCCAAACCCCTTCAGTGCTGCAGCTTTGCAAAGAAAAGGGGGGCAGCAAGTTGCTCATAAACCACAGCCTCATTTCACACCGGAAAAGTTGTATGCTATAGTCTCAACATTTTTTTTTTCCCCTCCGTTTGAAACAGAAGTTTGTGATTTGCGACTAAACTTTGAAATCTTCATTAAAAGTTTCCATTCCTCCTTACAAAAGAAATCCTTCAAAGGCTAACAAGAGGAAGAATCGGCAATGCTGAAGCAAACACAATCCGGTGTCACTCCCCGAGTTACCACTAACCGATCCCTTGCGGGGATCAAGCAGCACCTGCTCATCAGCAGCAGCGCTGCGTCAGTGCTTATCCATGGGAAGTCCTGAAGGGCTACGAGGAGATACCATGGGCAATAGAAACAATTGCCCTGATAGAGCACCATCATTTTGATTCTACTTTTGTGTCTACCAACCATCACGGCATAAATCCCAGGTCCTGAGATGTGCTCCTGCTGCCAGTCACACGATAACTGTGAGACATCCATGCAATATCTGATATTACTGATATTAAGAAGCTGAAGAGTTTCTTACCACTATGCAAAAGTCACTGATCCTTCCACAAAATGACGACAAAATCAATCGTATCTGAAACTCAGCACCTCCTCCAGCTCTGATGCCTCAAGCTCCCTCTCATTTCCCACGTCTTCTCTGTTAAATGGATGTAAGCAAGCACAGAGAAAATGAATCCTAAACTCACCTCCCGCCGAGCCCCCTTCCAAAAATGCAGATCCTTGTCAGTCTCTCTCTTTCCTGTGTGGTTTTGTCTCTTCTCTCCTTGCTCCTGTCTCCTTCTGTTTAACTGTTTGACATTAATTAAATACAGGCCTAGGCTTGCCTTAGTATATAAAGACAAACCTCGGTCATAAGCAACTTAGGTTGGAGTTCACCAGCAATCAGAGCCCTGCAACCTTAGCTACGAGTGGATTGAAAGTTATTGGTAGGTTTGGGAGAAAAAAGAAATTACCTTCTACTGCCTCACCAACTTATCTTGTCTCCTGACAGCTCTTATACAATGCTGTGCAGAAGTGACTGGTTGTCTGAATTTTTTCTTCCTTAGTCATATCATCACTGTGGCACTACAATAGAAATTACTAATAAAACATGTTATTAATGCTAGTGTTTCACTGATTTGACTTAGGTCCACAGTCTAACAATGACAAGTCTACTGCAAAATATCATCTAGAGGACAAACTGCCAAACCAGAGGATGCTAAAGTCAAAGAGATTTCTTAATTAATCTCATTAACCACCTACCCTACCCCTCCCAGTTTTGGAGTAGGTCACCAGTGTAAAACATACATATACTGATCTAAATTATTTACACAAGTGTTGACTTTAAATTAGAGCTTTTCCTAGAGGTGCTGTTTATGCCTGGAGCTTTTTGTAATCAAATAATTGCCATTGCAAGTGTGGTAGCTGTTTTACTATGCAGAATAGAAACAGCTTTGTGCTAAGCGACACCTAAACACAGAAGCCAAAAAAAGATGATGCCTGCTCCAGCTAATTTATTATTTAGAAGACATGAGGTGGGGGCACAGGGAAGGGCTGGTTTTGTCTGATCACACACAGACGTCTCCATCGGAGCTACGCATCCCTGGTGCCCTCTCTGGCCAAGGAAGGGTGTCCACACTGAAAAGAGATGTACAACAGCCCACTTACAGCTATATCTCTCTACTGACAATAAGCTTTTGGCTTGCCTTAAAAGGCTATATTCGTTAGCAGTTTATTGCAGGCAGCAGAAAGGAAAAGCTCCCCCTGAAGCCATCTCCTGTGACTCCCCAACATCGCCCTTGTCCAGCACAAGGGACAAGCGTCGGAAGAGAGGGGCTGGTGGTATCTTTCATGTAGTGGTGAGTCACAAAGCGCTTCAGCAAATAAAAGCATGAAGAGGAAAAGGAGACCTGTGAACGGTGACGCAGAGCCTGGGGTCTGAACATGACACAGGAAACAGTGGCCTCGCATGGAAACCAGCTCAGTCCGTGAGCCAGGAGGACCAAGATCAAGACACTTCTACATCCAGGAGAGGAACCTCTGGGCTCCAGTTTGGTACCCGGGACAGATTCATAATAAAATTTACTGTTATTCAGAGACAAGAGAGAAGTAAGATGTCCCTACTAAGAAAGTCAATAGCCCTTCATGGATGATCCTTTAATTTTATAGGTTCTCCCAGCGCATCTATCACCACGTCTCTGAGGACACACACTACGTGCTGTAGGTAAGCATCCATGCTCTATGGCAGAGTGAGAACCCAGTCTTGACAAACATTCGGTCCCCCCATCCTCGTTTGCCAGCATGTTCATTTCCATTCAAACCATGCTGAACAACAGGAATCAGGAATTTCCCTACTTTGGTCTCAGGGGGGTTGCGCTTTTGAAAATCGTTTTGAAATTTCATTTTCTGACACTGAGTTGTGATAGTGATGGAAGTGGGGAGATGCTGACTTCAGCATCTCGGAAAACATGGGACTCAACTTTAGTCATCTACAAAGCAGGCCCACGGTTTCAGTTCCTTGCCAACATTCCTCCATCAGCCTGTGAAGACAGGCCCTTCCCAAGAGCAGCTTATCCCAATAAAAAGGGAGGATGAATTCTACTTAGGATAAGGAGAATAAACTGCCCACTGAAACGAGAAGGAGCCTACACAAGTAGCATCACTTGATGTCTCATCTGGAGATGGCTGGGGAACCTTGGAAGAACCTCAAGCCTGATGTTCACATTTGCTTGATGGGATTTTGAGATCCAGATCCTTGTAATGTTTTTTAATTAACAAAACCTATTTTCTCTTTATTTTACCAAAATTTGCTCTATTCCAGGTAGATATCACAAGTACCACAGCCTCATGAAAGTATGAATTTCACACATCTCAGCAGGCCTAACAGCAGCTTTCCTCACTCACCAACATGCTTTGATGCCCAGTGAAATAAACCCAGTTCCTAAACCATTTTCCATAACTCATCTCTCAGTAGCAGGCACAATAGCAGTGGCATCAAAGTCAGCAGCACCGGGTTTCTGACATGCCCAAGAAAAGGGGGCTTTCTTTGCAAAGGAGTAACAGAAAAACACCTGGCACAGAAAAATAATCAGCA